TAATCACTAGTGTGTAGTTTGCCTTCTTCTATTCGTTTTATTTTGCAATCTAACATAGCTAATTCTCCTTGCTCATTTTCGGTTTCAAATGTGAATTTTATTCCCTCTACTAGTGAGTTTATGTGTGTCAAGAAGCTAGAGATATGTTCTGTTTTTAACACTGTGAAAGTGTCATCCACATATCTCCACCATATTTTTGGAGTAGGATTAAACATATTAAGAGGAATGATTCATCACTCATACCTGAAATATGGAAAACATTACTACCAATCAAATCAAGTGAAAATCAAGTGAAAAACAATGGAACTATATAAATCCATTTAGGAAGTCGTGTGATTACCTTGATATGATTATGAGCAATAAATTGTGCTCGAAACGTCATCAGTAAATATTACTGTATAACACTGTGAGACTTTATTAAAACAAAATTTACCCATTATGGAATTACACTCTACCACAGTGCACAAGTTTTATTCTAAGATAAATAATCACAAAACCGTTAAACCTCTTGTCAAATCAAATCAACTCATCTCATCTCATTCTCGACAAGACTTTGACTAAGCAAATGAATACACGGAGAAGCTCACCTGTCCATCTTCATTAGTTGAAATTATACACCACAGAGTCGAATGAGGGACGACGAGTCATACATGTCATGGAGGATGAAATAGGGGAGAGCATGTATGATGGAAAGAAAATCTGTGAGTAGTTGTGTAATCAGCTAAGAAAAGGATTGAAGAGAACACAATGAGATGAAAATGTACTCCTGAAGCTCTCTATACTCCACTCAGAACCAGGGGGAATGATATTATTATTATTGTTCCCTTAGTTTCCTAGTGGAACATAGGGCTTCAACTGCACGTTTCCACTTGCTCCTGTCTTCTGCTGTACTTTTCACCTGCGTCCATGTTAATCCATACTGTTTCAACTCTTCTTCACACGATCTCCTCCATGTCACCCTTGGACGTCCCACTCGCCGCTTCCCTTTCGGGTTCCACTCGAGCTATGGCCTGACGCGCGATGTCACCCATCGGCCTCCTCAGCGAGTGAGTGTCCAATCCATCTCCACATTCTCCTGCATATTTGTTGGGGGATTGGTTCTTGTTTTGCTTGTTCCCATAGTTTCTTGTTGGTGATTCATTCCGGCCATCTGATCTTGAGTATAGAACGAAGACAGTTGTTGATATAGGTCTGCAACAGACTGTTGGAAATATTCTTTGTGACCCACCGCCAAGTTTCTGATCTATCCGTATAGAAGAACTGACTGACTTGACGTTTGTATTGAAAATCCGATTTTCGTTGTTGATGCTGAGTGACGAAGATTTCCAGATTGGTTTCAGGTTGATGAATGTGTTTCTCGCCTTCCCACTTCTCGATTTGACATCCTCATCGGTTCCTCCTGTAGTTGAGACAATGCTCCCTAGATAAGTGAATGAAGTAACCTCTTTCAAATCCCTCCTGTTGATGATGATTGGCTCTGGCAGGTTGTTGTTGGTTGGTTATTTTCATGACCTCCGTCTTGTCTATGTTCACCTGATAATAATAACCAAATCGACCAAATGCACTCGGAAATCGCATGATCAACGACCCCTCTCTCCTAAATGTGATATGATCCATGAATGCTAAATAATGTACTTTTATGTGTGAAGAGGTTTAACGAACGAATTTCCTGGTATTGAAGTGAATTCGTTTTGGTGAAGTGAAGTGGTCAATACATATCCCCGAATTCATTTGTTGCCATAGGATGTCGTTATGACACAGAAGAGTTAAGAGGTTGACAGTTCACATTAACATTTCATCAACTGTGACTTTCGAAATGTGACACCACTCAAGAGAATGTCCGTCAAGTGGAATCTGAATGAGAATCATTTGATTACGTAACGCTGAAAATTCCGTTCCCTATGATTACTATTGTTGTTTGGAATAAAGTGATTATTACCATTATTATTACCATTGTATGAGTACATTGTTTTTTGGTTAAACTCCCTGGATAAGTATGTTAAAATTCAAGTGTTGGTTTGTAGGGATTTGATTGGTTACAGGATTTTCATTATGAGCTGAAATCAGTTAGAGTACCATTGGAAAACCTGGGAGTACTGGACAGCTATTAAAATTGTTTCTCTACATAAATTCCATGATAATACCTTTAGGCTATAAGCAGCAGATGATGAGAAGCCAACGAAATAAACAATGGCGGTAGCATTTTATTCTGCACAAACCACACACTGTGGTTCTTGTTTCGTTCACTTTCACCTTTATTTAATTTATCAAGAACTCGTTCGAAGCACTTTGTAAACGTTTGCTCTATTATCCAAATCTATTCTAAAGTGAAGATAAGTGGTGTAACGGAAAAAACTGTTTGGAAAATCCTTTCTGAAAGACCTAATTACAATCATCTCATAATTATTTGGATGTTTCAACTTACTTTTGTCACACTTAATTAATAGTGGTCATGTAATCGAGAAAACGAGAGCCTTCAAAGTAATTCATCGTATCCCACCGAATCTTTCCAGTAGACTTCGTATTCGTTTACTGCACACAGCTGAGGCGATAGGCATTCGAACTATTAAACCTAAACTATGTATTCAAAAAAGTTCGTACAGCCATTATCCCTCCCTTGGCCTATTAAGACATAACCAACTAATGACTTCTACACCACCCTTTGTTTATTTTTTTCAACCCCTTTCTTATCATCCCTTAATCTTATAACATCTTCATTATAAACGTGTCTCATTCACTTCCCTTACAATCTAACATTACTTAATCGGTTCATTTGTTTTTACTAGCCTTTATCGACTACTTCCATCTGAACAGTTGTTTGTTTAATCATGCTGTTTTTCATTATTCGTGTTATCACAGAATGCTTCACTTTTCCATCCTTATTATTGATAAGACCATTTTCATTATTACTATTATCATAATTATCATTACAACTATTATGAATAATTGCACAACTTATATTCACCATCGTATTATCCTATAGACAAAATACCATGATTGGTTAATATTTGAATTTTTATTTGTAAACTTATAAATATTAGAGTTAAGCCTGCTGAGATCTAATTGAAAGAACAATAGTGTTCACTTCAATGTGTTGTCAAGGAAGGCGATGCCTACGCATGCGTGACAAATGTCTGAACGATCTCAATCGCTGTAACTTCACAACCTCGTTGATTGATTTCCCCTCCCACCTACCTAGCACTCGACCGATGACTAACCTCAATATTGCTTACCTTGTAACAACAGAAGGCAAAGTATATTTCTTATTAATCAAACCGCTGTTTATATATCTACAGTTTATATTCGTTAACCAGTCACTGAGCGTGCGATTTCGGTTTACATCGAACGAGTAGAAATAGAATGTTCAAATGTACATAGCATTCTGTTGCCAATGGAGTACTGAACTGTGGGAGTAACATCGAATAGAATGTTCAAATAGATATATAGTATTCTGTTGTTAATGCCGAGTTGAACTGTGGGGACATATGAGAATAACATACCGTTGGCACACATTGTCTGTAACACACCACCACAACCTTACTATACCACTTAACACGCAAGAGAGAACACAGGCATCTGTGATCAAAGACAGCTAACCAGACTCTTCATGTCTTCCACTCTTAATGGCCAGGTCTCATAGCCATAAAGGAGGACGTAGCGGACTGGTATGCGGCATACACGTCTTTTGATCGGTAGGGTGATTTCATATATAAGCTGGAGGTGGCGAAAACTGGCAAATGCCAAAAGAGCCTTCTTTCTCCGTGCTGATATTTAATCACTGATCAACCCGTTGGCACTGGCTGACCCAGCTTCCCAAATATGTGAAGTGGTCAGCATGCTCTACCACTTCACTTCCTTCCTATCTTTAAGCTAGGAGTCGATGTAGTCTAGTCCAGTCCTATAGCATCGTCTTACATTTGAAAAAGGCAGAGAATTTCATGCCAAACATTAGAAAATTGCTGCTCCTCAAGGTGTGCAGAAGACTCTGCATTTTGTCAGCGTCTTTATCTAGGAAGGAGGACTATAACGTCTGCATATTCTAAGTCAACGAGATTACTCCCTGGTAACAAGTCAATCCCTTAATCGCCCAAGTCAGTTAGTTTTAATTCTACTAGCGTACATGTTTGGTGAAACTGAACAGAAATGTGGATAGTGGGCGTCCCTGACGGACACCACTGGTAGTCACCACAGTTATCAAATGACAACTCTCCATAGGCTCTGGCCTGACTGACTGGATGAGTTCGAGTAGAGCGTCTTGATCAGTGAGATTCATTTCCTCGCCATTCCCTTCATCACAGCCAAAAATCGCCACAGTACCTCTAGGTCAACGGAATCGAATGCAGCTTTCAGGTAGTTCAAGAAATATGACGATTGTTGGACGCCGCCGGTAAGTACGCCTATGTTCCAGAATCTGTCGACGGGTGAAGATATAATCAATACACCCTCTTCCTGGTCATGAAGAGTCCCAAACTAGGACAAAATATCTTCCCACTCAATGCTTCCTGATTTTCAATAATTCCCCCCCCCCCAACTGATAGGTCATTTCATGACCAAAAAGGAAAAAAATCAACAAGTACAAAAAAGAAATTTCATTCATTTAATTGTTCATCTTTCTTCTATCAACGACAGGAGAGAGAAAAAACGGTAGAGAAGTGAAGTCAATTAAAAAATAAACAAATAAATAATAATAACGACTTAACAACAACCCTTCGAACCGACAGCAATCACAATTCGTTCATTCAGTCTCCCCCTTCCGCATACCACACACACGTACACCTACACGCACGCTCTATTCCAGAATAACACTACAGAAAAGCTGAAACAAAACAAATGTTTGTCAATATACGATTAAATGATATAATCTCTGTTGAATTAAAATTTCTCACCCCATAAGAGTTGCAAAAATTTTTTAAAAATGTCACCCATCTCCTACACGAATACAGATTATTATTATTCAGACAGACATTGAAACACTGAACACTCTACTGATAATCTTCCACAAGTAGTACTCATTTTTTATCAAGTAGTAATAATAATAGTTATATTAATAATAAAGAATCTGTAGAAACGTTTTACAATACAATTTAGTTTCTGAAAGGCTGAATTGATAATGGAGAAACATAGTAGACACACTATGTCCTTGAATGAGGCAATAAAATAGATAGATAGACAGACAGACAGGCAGACGGATGGATGGATAGACAAACAGACAATTCAACTAAACAAGGTCAAACCAACAGGTATGTAAGTATTCACAACAATCTGTACACAAATTTCATAAATAATAATACAAAAGTGTACACTGCTTGATATACACTACTGACTGTTTAACCGATATGAGTGGTATTGTGAAAATTGTGAAGAAAACCAACAAAAAAAGAAAGATGAATTAAAAACCACTCTCTCTCTCTCCACTCTTTATCGATAAAGAAACAACAACAACAACTGGAGATACAAAAGAAATGGGGAGAAAGACAATTAAAATCAATATTGGAAACGAAGCAGAACAATTACTCTGGTCATTTGAATTTATCCCCATGAAGAAAACTTTAGTTACATAAGGATGAATATATATCATCATAAAAAAAATTTATATGAAAGACAGATAGATAGAATGACAAAAATTAAACCGTGGCGTAAAAAGGCATTAATAATCAGCTGATTGAAATTAACCAAATAAAATCCACCAATCAGAGAACGTGTCAACTGTCTACAAGTGCGTAGGTGTTACACTTAAGTGTTTTTTGATTGGTTGGTTCCAAATATGCTGACATCAGCATGAATCAGCTGATTATTATCATTAATACCCTTAATTAGCCACTGGTCAAAGGCGGTTCTTCTTATTTTGTTTAATTCAATATTGTTTTAGTATTTTTTCACCCTCTCCCTCCCAAATATATTACATACAACATATAAGGAGTGATATATTTTTCCTATTGTATGATTTTCTTTATGTCATTATAAAGTGTAGGAGAAGTGAAAATAAGAGTTTAACGAAGTCAATTATAAATAGGGAGGGTTGAGGATATAGGAATCGATCGCTTGTTTGTTTGTTTGTTTTTTAAGCAAAGAATACAACAAATATCACAAAGAATACAATTAAAACAAAAAACACTTTAATCATAAGCCATCGACTTGAGCTAATAGAACGAAAGTAGCGAATTAACTCGGAATGACCAGCTTCAACTGACACGGCGGCTTCATCAACATTAGCGTCAATACGACGTATTGATTCATCTTGTTCATGTACCTAATGAAATTTTAAAAAATATTAATATATTAATAAAAAATTTTAAGTATTATTGTCCAGTGTGCTACTGACAGGACTTATCAGTAGTATATAAAAGATCAAAAATATCAAATAGCGGAGAGATGGAGAGATTTGACGTCAAAAGGCGAAGAAATGAATCAGTTTATTGCGGCAAAACATGGGAGACACGAGAAGAAGACAAAAAAACACAATACGAAGCACCGAAGTAGCACAACGCGGGAGATCAGTGTAAATGACGACCTTTATATATATATATATATATATATATATATATATATACATATATATATATATATATACATATATATATAAAGATCCTAAGGCCTACTGCTTTCGAAAAAGGAGACTTACACTGCTTCTTGAGGAATTTTAATGCTATCGCTGAGTTGGCGGGCATCAAAGGTGGTGAAGGCATACACTGCTGAGGGGTCAAACAAAGCCGGCCTACGCCAGCTTAGAGCAGAAAGGCATGTTTACCGACTGGGTTTGTTGGTGGAACGGTTAGTAGCGGAGTTCGACAGCCAGAAGGACAAGCATTAGGCAATGCAGCAGTTCCATACAACGAAGCTAGGATCTGACCAAAACCCGTTAGTGTTGGTGCTGAAGCTGATGAATCTGCTTCGTCGAGCACTCCCCACATTGGATGAAGAGTCAGAGTCACAGTTATTGACATCCCATTTCATCAAGAGTGTCCTAGACCACATTTCGCAGCAACTACATTTGGTTAACACTTAACAATCCATGGATATTGATGAGCTAGCAAAGGTGACTAGACAGCTGTCGAACACAACTGTAAACGCAATACAGTAACAAAAAATTGGATCGATGGGAACAAGAAATCCTACAATTGCAATAGGAAGTAGCGACGCTAAGAATGAACGTCAGAAGAAACAAGTGGCAAAAAACGGGACACTGGAGGAAATACTACCCGGAAAGATGGAAAACAAAAAGCCTTAAACAATAGAATGTGTGTTGATATTAGGTGGTTGGGGGCAATCGGCAGGAAGCCTTGGACCTAGGTTTCGTGCTAGTTGGCACTCGTCAGCAAGGCGTATCTGCAACCTTGAAGGAACTCATGTCCCTTCTGAGATTCGAACCCGCGTCACCCAGTGCTGCAGTCACAGACATTACCACTGAGCTATTCGGGCTCGCGATTGACCTCCTGTAGGACTGTAATGGATATTTTGATTTGACACTAGTAACTAGTGTGATGCTTCTAGTCCTCTCTTTGGTGAAGACTGAATTCTATCGATTGCCTCCAACCACCTAATATCATCACAAACTATGTACACCGTGATGGCGAGCTACCTAGAATGGTGGCCACATTACAACCTGACTGATAGAATTCAGCCTTCACCAAAGAGAGGACTAGAAGCATCACACTAGTTACTAGTGTCAAATCAAAATATCCATTACAGTCCTACAGGAGGTCAATCGCGAGCCCGAATAGCTCAGTGGTAACGTCTCTGACTGCAGCACTGGGTGACGCGGGTTCGAATCTCAGAAGGGACATGAGTTCCTTCAAGGTTGCAGATACGCCTTGCTGACGAGTGCCAACTAGCACGAAACCTAGGTCCAAGGCTTCCTGCCGATTGCCTCCAACCACCTAATATCATCACAAACTATGTACACCGTGATGGCGAGCTACCTAGAATGGTGGCCACATTACAACCTGACTGATAGAATTCAGCCTTCACCAAAGAGAGGACTAGAAGCATCACACTAGTTACTAGTGTCAAATCAGAATGTGTGTTCTTTGTCTGTGGTAGTCTAGCATACATACAATACACATTCCACCATAATCAAACCTAAGTCAGCTTAATAAATAGGTCATCTGACATAATGGACACACACAAAAAACTTGGAGGATCTGGACTTCGCCGATGATATATGTCTGATTTCCCACAAACTGGAAGATATGTAAGCGAAAAGCAACAAGTTAGCAGAAGAAGCATCAAAGATAGGACTTCAGGTGAACATAGAGAAGACAGAGGTGATGAAGATTACTGGGCAACACCACCAACAGCAACAACAACAACAACAGACAACAATCAGCATAAATGGGAGGAACCTGAAAGAAACAACCTCCTTTACCTACACCTACCTGGGAAGCATCGTCTCAACTACAGGCGGAACTGACGAGGATATCAAAGCAAGAATCGGAAAAGCAAGACAAACTTTCACTACTCTTAAGTCTGTGTGGAGGTCAACAGACAGCACTCAGCATCAAAAATAAGATCCGAATTTTCAACTCCAATGTGAAGTCAGTCCGTGCTACTCAATATACGGATCAGAGACTTGCACTGCGCGTCATAAAGAGCATCTCAAACAAACTACAGACCTTCATTAACAGTTTCCTTCGCTCAATACTCAAGATCAGATGGCTGGCCAGAAAAGATCAGCAACAGGGATCTCTGGGAGCGAACCAACCCAGCAGGAACCGATTGTGAAACAAATAGGCACGAAGAAATGGAGATGAATTGGTCAAACTCTGAGGAAACCATCAAGTGACATCACTAGACAATCCATCACTCGAGTGGAACCCGAAAGGGAAGCGGCGAGTTGGTCGTCAGTGCAAGGGTGACTTGGAAGAGGTCATGTGAAGAGGAGATGAAAGCGTGTGAGCAGACTTGGAGCCAGGTGAGGACTCTAGCAGAGAACCGAACGCAATGGAGACGCACGGCTGAAGCCCTATGTTCCTCTAGGAATTAAAGGAAACAATAATTATACAATAATAATGAAGTGTACTTGTTTGTTCAGAAATTACGATCTGGTGGAGAATTGGGTTTCGAACTTGCTTCCGCTATTGATGAAAGGGCTAGTAACAGTAACTGCGCAAACCAGTGAATTTTATTGTCACACAACTTTATTGGCTTTACAAATGTTATTCAGGTGGTGGTTTGCAGGGATTTGATTATTTACAGGATTTCGTTGTGAGTTGACATCGGTTGGAGAACCATTGGAAGACCAGCAGGGAATATTGCACAAGCAGCTTTCCCTACCCTCCGCAGTTTAGAACTTTTCACCAGTACACAGCCATTGCCAGGGGGTTCGAACCCAAGACCTGCCGGTTACAATGCCAGCTAGCTCATGGACTATTAAGCCACTGGGAGCTGATCCAATGGCCAGTCCATGAATTCCAACTTCTGTCAATTCACGAAAAAGGGCGACCACTAGCTAATGTCATTCGTGGTGAGTATTTATCGTGACATCCAACCTGCTGTACCCCCACTGGTCACAATTTCCCACCTGAATAGGTTCAGTTGTCAGCGAGCATCAGATTAAGTATTCAAGTATTGATTTGTAGGATTTCGGTGGGCGCGTACTGATGAAGAGTCCCGAACTAAGACAACAGGAACAGCTGTCTAGTATTCCCAGCTTGAAAACTTAAAGTACTGAATTTATGTCTCGGTAAGAACATTGTCAGTCACTGAGAGGCACACATACACACATTCACCTGAAAAATCCCATATAGGATAAAATATCACTCCTAAACATCCACAAACGAAAATAAAATCAAAATTATAATTGTAATTATTACAAAACATATATATTTAACTAACCATAGTAGCTAACTGTTGAAAAATCTGTCCTAATTCAACAATTGTATGCTCAATACTTCGCATTGTATCTGCACGCGAGGCTAAATAGGTATCCGTTTGATCTGAACTAACATATTTTTGAGCAAATCCTAAATTTGAATTCATAGGCAAGGTAGGTGGTACAAAACTGCCTAAACCATCTAATCCATCATTGCCTTGATTACCACTCAGTAAAGCTTCTCTGGCGCGTTCATCATCCTTTAAAGATAATAAGGCAAAGTATAAGTGAGTAGTAAAGGAAAACATAATAAAAGGTAACAATGGATTAAATTTATATTTCAGGCATAAACATCATCTAAACTTGCCATATTTCTTGATCTGAAGGCAGCAGTTCACTTGGTCAACCGAGAGGTGCTGTGGTAATGTCTCGTTGTGAAGGGAGTACCCACAAAGTTCATTGCATTAAATCAAGGAATTTTTCTCGGACTCAAGTAGCCGTGTGTCAGGGCTTCCACCGAATTTTCATCCCAAGTGATGATAACGAGTGGTGGTGTCCGTCACGAGGGTTGCCCACTATACCCATTTCTATTCAACTTCATCATAGATGTACTTACTAATGGACTTAACCTTAACTCATTTCAGTGACTCAGAGATTGACTTGTTACCAGGGAGGGAATAATCTCGTTGACTTAGAATATGCAGATGATATAGTCCTTCTGGGTGAAGTGAAGACGCTGACAAAATGCAGAGTCTTCTGAACACCTTGAGGAGCAGCAATCTTCTTATGTTTGACATACAATGCCTAGCCATCGGCTTCAACGACAACGGTAATATTAGCTGATACAGGATCACATTGGAAAAGAGCCAGAGGCAATCAAACCAAAACGTGACTTCATCATTCAATCAAATCCATAACAATTAGTTTAAGCCAGCCAGGTATGTAGGGACGCGTAGACTCTCCGGTTAGGATTCTCGGAATAATGAAAACCAATAATGAGTGCATACAATTGGTCATTTGACTCTAAAATTGTTCTCAACGGCTAGTGGAGATGCATTTAAACTCTTTGTTACTTGTCATACGCAATAAAACTCTCTTCTTCTTCCATATTACTACTATTCTTTTCGCCTCACTCACACTTCTGTTTATTATCTCTCTATTGTTGAATCTCTCTTTACTCTTTTCTCTTGGTTTGTGTGCTATATGGAGGGAGAATGGCCACTCAAACTGCTAAACATCTGTGCAAAGTTCTACATTGAAACCAGTCAGTAGGAAATTAACATGATGTGGGGAAGACTAGAAAAGAACAGAGGACGTACACAATCCAAGGTATTTGATATTCCACTTAGTTTCATGGGAACGAACCAGTTCATGTAAATCTCATTCTCGTTTGAGGGTGAAATTAACCATCTAACATTTGAAAAGATTTACCTAAAGACCATTTTCATCAAGGGCCACATCTGGCTAATTTTCTGATCAAAACCTATTCTCAAGTATTGGTTTGTAGGGAATTTTTGTTTGATTGGCTACAGGATTTCATCATAAGCTGACATCGGTTAGAGAACCAATGGAAAACCTCCAGGGAGTACTGGACAGCTAGCTGTTTCGTCCTCGTTTGGGACTCTCCATCAGCACCCACACACCACCAGGGTTCGAACCCACTCGTAGACCATTTAAGCCACTATTCATTAAGCTATTCATTTTGGAATGATTGACTGACTGACTGACTGACTAACTGGTTTCAGTAGGGGAATTTGCACAGAAGTGCACCACATCAAGTTGCCACACTCCACTTAGCAGACAAACGAAGCCAAAAGAGAGGAGAAAGAGATTGGAAAGAACCATAATGAGTATAAGTGTACGGGAAACAGAGAGAATACTAACATGGGAAAACATGAGGGATATTACAGAGGGTAAATGCATCTTCACCAATAAAAACTATTTGGAGCCATATCACCAATGGTCTTCAACTATTATTGGTACTTAGAATCCCGAGAACCCCAGCCAAGCAGTCTACAAGCAGTCTATTTCATGGACTCATTCCACGTTCTGGTTTGATCACTCCTAACCCTTTTCCAATTAAATGTCAGCTAACACTACCCTTCGAGGAAGACGACAGCTATGATAGGAACTAGAATAAAATAGTATATCCTCCTTTCTCCCGAATCTTATGATTTCTTATGCGATCAATCCATCATCTTTTGTCCCACCTTGGTATTTGTTGGATCACCAACCAATCAGAATAGCTATTGCCAGCCAATAAGGACAATCCGTTCCTACGGCTGTAAGCCAACCTTACCGTGGTAAAGAATATTTATAAATGTGATGTGTCGTTTCCTAATAAATACATGCAGTATCTTATATTCACAGACCATCCTTTGTCTTTTGTGATATTTGCGCGGCTCAATGAAGCGGGAGGTACAACCGACGAATAGGCGTATTACCGTTATAACAATTAGCGGCGCAGATATTGTGGTGAGAGTTGTCTGCACGCCGCAGATTGTAGACAACAATCTGCGTCAATGTTTACGTCCCGAACCAGGGTCATGAGAAAAAAAACAGTAACAAAGTTTCACCTTGAGGAACTCACCAACCAATCACAGCAGACTTAGCGTGTGCAAATACGATTCGCAGGTATAGGGCTTAACTTTCTAAGAAACAGTTGGTCACAAGCAGTACAGAATAACCTTCAGCAAGAAAACAATCAATCAGAAGAGGCTGCTTCTCCACTAACAATAACGCTAATAATAATGTACATAAAAATCTATGAATATCTCTTAATTTTCTCAATAAACGATTTGTTGCCTGGTGCTTGTCTTCTGTCATTACAATACAACAGGCTAGGCATACATAACAGATAACCTGACCACTCAGCGCCTTACCTCAGTATTACTCACGCTAGTATACCATTTTAAACGGGAGATAGAAGCCGGACACACCTATGATCACAGACAGCTAGCCAGGCTTTTCGCGTCTTTTCATTATGGATAAAATTTATTTTGATAAAGTCTCACAATGTTTTACAGTAATATTTACTGATGAACACTTTTCGAGCACAATTTATTACCACTCATAATCATATCAAGGCAATACTCACACAACTTTCTAACTTCCTTTATATAATTCCATTATTTTTCATCACTTGATTTGATTGATAGTAGTATTTTCCATATTTCTGGGATGGATGATGAGTCATTCTCATTGCACGTGTTTGGTGCAGACTCGATGAACAAGGATCCTACACAGGATCTCAGATTTCCCCTCCTATTATGGTAGAACTGTAGGTGCCTTATATTCTTTCTTATTCATGTTATCATTATTAGTTTCACCATTATTTTTATTTTGCTTTTGACCTTTTCTGATTTTCCTAATGAATTTTATAGGATAGTTATTTGACACCAACCAACTATTCTTCTCTCTGTTTTATTTCATCATTTAGGTCTTTTTTTGTACTACTTAGCGGTACTGCTCGGTTTGTTAGACATTTAAATAAGCCTGCATTCACAGTTAACGGATGAGATGAATTAAAGTCTAAATATCTATTAGAATGTGTTGGCTTTTTATAAATGCTAGTGCACTCACAGTTTGCCTTCTTCTATTCGCATTATTTTACAATCTAACATGACAGCTAATTCTCCTTGTTCATTTCTCGATCCAAATGTGAATTTTATTCCCTCTACTAGTGAGTTTATATGCGTCAAGAAGCTAGAGAGAGATATGTTCTGTTTTTAACACTGTGAAAGTGTCATCCACATATCTCCACCATATTTTCGGAGTAGGATTAAATGTTGTATTAAGAGCAATATTTTCCCAGCTCTCCATAAATATATCTGCTACGATAGGGGATACTGGTGATCCATCCCATTTCTACACCTTCTGTTTGTCTATGTATCTTTCCTTCGAATTTAAAGATAGTAGATGTGAGACAGCATAACTGAATTCCTAAAATGATTTCTTCAATGGGCAGCTTCGTCCTATGAGTGAGTTCAGGATCTGCAGTTAGTTACTTTTTAACTGTTTCTAAGGCAGGCGTATTGATCAATATATTACTGTACAGACTAGTTATATCAAAACTAACCATTGTTTCATCATTGTCTAGTTGGGTATCATTTAGTTTATTTTTCATCTCATATGAATTAGATTTCTAATGGGGCATAATATTAGAGCTAAGTGTTTTGATAATTCCTGAAATCTACTGTTGGCCGTATGGGGTAACCTGGCTTATGTATTCTAATAGTGTACCACACAATCGTGTTTTGACCTTCAATGACTATGTCTTATCTTAAAATAATTTGATCAAGAAGTAACCGACACACTTAATGAAACTGATTTCATCAGAATGAAGAGAATCATATGTAAGAAGAGGAAAAGGAAATGCAGTAAGAACAGCACTACCTCAGAAGATTCCAGCCTCAGTAAGCAATGCAGTTGCAGACCATCCTTTAGATACAGTGGAACATGACAAAAAGTAACCTTGTTTCTATCTATCTATCTATCTACCAACACCTATCAACAATGAGAAAGTTCTCAGGAATAAGTAGAATTGTAACGACAGGAGACAAGGGTCAGGCAACAGTCCGTCTATTGAGGAAATCAAGAGGTATTTATAAAGTTTTTTAAGTAAATTATTATTAGCGTTATTGTTAGCAGAGAAACAGTGTCTTCTGATTGGTTGTTTCTTATCGCTGAAGGTTATTCTGTCATCTCTTTGTGGCCATTTCTTTGAAGGTCAGACCATATATCTGCGAATCGTATCCGCCTACGCAAACAAAGTCTGCTGTGATTGGTTGTTGAGTTAGTCTTTATTCTTATGTTTTTTTCTTCTTCTCATGACCAAGATTTGGGGGACGTAAATATTGACGTAAATTGCTGTCTACCAATTTTTGGCTAGCAGACAGCTCTCACCACAGTATAGCCTTAATAACAATTTATTATAGCATAAAAAGAGGTAATATAGTAATACATTTTATATATAAAATAAATTCTTACTTTTAATAGAACTGATGGAATAATAACATGTGGTGATTTAGCTACTTGTGTATTAGTAGTATTATTGCTTAATGTTTCATCATCAATTGAACTGTATTTACTTTTACGTGCATTCTGTGATTTTATATCCTCTGAACGATATTCCAATACACCACGAAATTGATCAGACATTTTAGCTAAACGTGTCTGTAGAACCATTAGAACAGAACGTGAATGAGTTGATTGTTGTTTTCCACTAGACCCCTATATAATATAATAAGTGAAAACAAAAGGAAAGAAAATTATGAAAAATTCCCATTCGAACATTAATAGACAGAAGACTAGTAGTTCAGCGAAGAGTCTCTTTTCAGCGGCAAATTCATTTTCATAGCTGTACAATCGCAAATATATATAAATATGGTTATTTGTATGTGTGTACATTAAATTTGACAAACGAAAATACAATAGTAAGTTCAGATGAATTGGATATTGATGCTAATCTGCAGAAACTCAAAGGACAAGATCCCGCACCTGACCAATTCTATGTGTATACATCAATTCACCTGTTGCTGTGGTGCCAGGTACATCGGTCGTTCAACGCGTATCCTGTCAAAAAGGGTCAAAGAACACTATCCAGCGTGATTGCAGAAAGGAAGTACTGGCCGTATAAGGAGTGCAATAATCGAACATCTCATCACCACTGGTCATTCCATCTCAGCAAACGCCTCCTTCAGAGTGATCTACAAAGTGAAGAACAGCCTTCTAAAGACAATACGTTTCTGTCTTCTTTACATTGCAGAAGCCCTAGCCATTCAGTTGGAAGAACCAGAACTATGCATACATAAGAAAACTATTCAACCACTTCTATTATCATGGTAACAACTCTGTTGATTTAACTTCACTTCTGCTCGTTTGCTTGTTTTTTCTAACTACTTAAAACTCTTACGTAATTCCGTGTGTTATTTTGTTTCCATGTACACTCTGGGCACAACTCTTTCATCAAACTATTCATGTTATTATGTAACTCGTCTTTGACAATAGTTTGTGACAACTCATCACTTTTGTTACTGCCCTCTTATTTCAACATCCAATCCATCTGAACTTACTAATTGTATTTTCGTTTGACAAGTTTAATGTACACACACACATACAAATTAACTATATATATATATATATATATATGCGATTGTACAGCTATGAAAATGAATTCGCAGAAAAGAGACTCTTCGCTGAAAGAAAATTAGTTTGACAAAACAATTAACAACACGATATATTGAAGTTTTGAAGAAGAAGGAGTGAAAATCAATTGATTATGGAATACAAGATTAGTTAATTCTTAGGGGTTGGAAACAAGTTGTTACACAATCAAGAAATTTATAAAATAATGATGCTTAAGTAGAATTAAGTAAGATACAAAAAAGTTATTAAAATTATTTAGAATTGTAATCATTATAAAAAAAACAATGTCAAAAGTTAGTTACAAGGGGAGGGGAAAAATCGCTTTTAAAAATCTAATGCACATTATGTAGTTGGCTATTTTTCTTTTGACTATTTCTGAGAAAAATGCCTCCTTAATTAGCTCTCAGCATAGACGCCTCGAACGCTGGAAAGAACACTTCGAGGAACAGTTTAACTTGCCTACAGCCACACTGAGCCTCCCCGCCATCCAGCACACACCCGAATGGGACATAGACACTGGCCCGCCGTCTGTAAGTGAGGTCACCAAAGCAATCTGTAATTTGAAACGAGGCAAAGCGGCAGGACCCGACGGAATTATTCCGGAGGTGTTTAAATATGAGGGTGACATGCTAGTATATAGTTTAACTAAGGTACTAGGTAACGTCTGGGAATCAGAGACGGTTCCATCAGACTGGGGTAAGTCACTTATTATACCAATATTCAAGAAGGGAGACAAGTCCTCATGTGATAATCATAGGGGGATCAGCCTGACGAACATAATCTCTAAAATCCTAGGCTCAGTAATCATGCACAGACTAAGTCGAACTCGGAAGGAACAAACGAGGGAAAATCAAGCAGGCTTTAGGCCAGGTAGAGGGTGCATAGATCATGTCTTCACTCGCCGACAGATCCTAGAACATAGACACACTATTAGGCGTCCAACAATTGCCATATTTCTTGACTTGAAGGCGGCCTTCGACTCCGTGGATCGCAAGGTACTATTCCTGTCTAACTTCATCAAAGATATGCCAATGGAAGTATCCTTAACTGAACTTAACGACTTAGGAATCGACTTGTTACCAGGGTATAGTCTTATGGACTTAGAATACGCAGATGACATAGTCCTGTTAGGGGAGGATGCTGACAAAATGCAGAGTCTTCTGAACACCTTGAGCAGCAATCTTCGTATGTATGGCATGCGATTCGCCCCTGTAAAATGTAAGATGCTGCTACAGGACTGGACTACGTCAACTCCTAGCTTAGTGATAGGGAGTGAAGTGATAGAACATGTTGACCACTTCACCTATTTAGGAAGTTGTATCAGCACCAACGGATTGATTGGTGACGAAATCTCAGCACGCATCCAAAAACCTCGGGCTGCTTTCGCTAACTTGCACCGTCTCTGGCGTAGGCGTGACATCCGACTACCAACCAAGAACCGTGTGTACTGCTCAGCAGTTCGCTCCATCCTTTTCTATGGCTCTGAAACATGGCCAATACGAGTTGAAGACATGAAAAGTTTGACTGCTTTTGATCATGGATGTCTACGATCTCTTTCTCGCGTTAGGTGGTATAATAAGGTAAGTAATGTTGACGTTCGGCGTAGTGTTGGGCAAAGAGGGAAAATCAATCGACGAGGCTATAAAGTTACATAGATTGACATGGCTAGGTCACGTGCTGCGCATGCCTAACCATCGCCTCCCCCGACGGACGGGCATTACTAGCTGATATAGGTGCAGGTTGGAAAAGAGTAAGTGGTGGCCAAACAAAAACATGGCTTCATCAATCCATGAAATCCCTGACAGTTAAACTGAGTCAGGTAGGGAGATGCAGACTTCCGGGTTGGGGCCCTCGGGACTCTAAGAATCAATGGCTGGAGACAATACGTGACATGGCTCAAAGTCGTTGTCAATGGCTTACGCAGATGTATTCAGTCTCTTTAATATTCAGTCTCATATTCCTTTCTACCATTACTCATTCTGTTTCACTCTTATACTTATCTAAATTCTATTGATTCTCTTCTCTCATATTCCTGTTTACCTTTGTGTGCTATTTGGAACGTGGCAACTCAAACTGCTGCACTTCGGTGCCAAGTTCTATGTTGAATCCAGCAGCAGCAGCAGGTGGACCAGACATCTAACCATATTATACTTGTATTGTAGAGGTATGAAGCTGAGGAAGTGAGTATATTGTCCAGTGGAAGTAGGTTTTCTATACAAACGTCTACATATTGTTCCATCTGTTCGTCTAGTCATTAGGACGTCCAAAAAGGGGATAGAGTCATTTTCTTCTTCTTCCTTAGTGAAGCTTATGCTGGGATGTGCTCTATTGAATTTATCCAATATGCCTTTAGTCTCACTTTCATTCTTAACAACTATAAATGTATCATCAAAATATCGGCAATAGAAAGATTCTATATTATATCTTTAAGAGGACCATGCCCTATTTTCACCAAGAAAAATTCCACTATTGTAGAGCCCATGATGAGAAACTGACTGACTGATTGGTTTCAACGTAGAACTTTGCACCGATGTGCAGCAGTTCGAGTTACCACCCTCACTCCATGTAGCACACAAAGCAAGCGAAAAGAGTAGAGAAAGATTCAAAACAGAGATAGTAAACAGAAATATGAGGCAAAAAGAATGGTAATGTGGAAGAACAATAGAATTTTATTGGGTATTATAAATCACAAGGAGTGGATGCATCTGCGCTATGCATTGACAACGATTTTGAACCACATCACCAATTATTTCCAGTCGCCATTGGTTATTACCATCCTGAGGACCCCAACCAGACTGTCACGAAGTCTACACCTCCCTACGTGGCTGGCAGGCTTAAACTAACTCTTGTGGATTTCATTGACTGATGAAAGCCATGTTTTACTTCGACCACCACTGGCTCTTTTCCAATCTGATCCTATGTCAGCTAACATTGCCCGTTGTCGAGAAAGGCGATGCCTAGGCATACATAACATATGTCCTAACCATCTCAATCGGTGTAACTTCACAGCTTCGTCGATTAATTCCCCCCCCACCTACCTACCTAGCACTCGACCGATGCCTAACCTAAATATTACTCACCCTATTATAACACTTAGCACGAGAGACACAACACAGGCACCTATGATCAAAGACAGCTAACTAGGCCCTTTCATGTCTTCCACTTTCAATGGCCAGGTCTCACTCACAGCCATAAAGGAGGACACAGCGAACTGCTGCTGAGTAGTACACACGTCCTTTGGCCGACAGTCAGCGGGATACATCACGTCTACTAAGCCAGAGATGGAGCTTTCTGTATCCGTGCAGAGATTTCATCAGCGATCAGCAGCCCGTTGGCGCTGACTGATGCAACTCCCCAAATAAGTGAAGTAAGTGGTCAAATCACTCTACCACTTCACTCCAACCCCATACTTTAAGCTAGGAGTCAATGTAGTCCAAGATGAGGAACTAATTGGATAGGAAAATACTTCTAAGCTCTTTTTTTTTCTAACTGTGTAAATGAGAATTTTCAGCAATAAAAAACAAATAAACAAATTTTTAAAACAATTAGTTCCCTTTATGAATTTAGACAAAGCAATAAGAAGACGTAATTTGTCTGTCTGAATCGTGTGTGTAATGTGTATTTGCGCAACACATTTCGAACAATCTGATCCATCACACACGGACTTGTCATAGGAATGTGTATATGTGAAATTAATAGAGATAAGAGGTGAGAAAATAGACTACTTAGGTCAAGTTAAAAGGACATATTGAATGTCAAAATAACAATGAAGATCACTAAACCAAATAACAGAGGTAATATTACATCTATCCTGACTGGTATCAAAACAAAGTTGACCAAGGAAGGTTTCATTGTGATGACGAATTGTTGCTTTGATCGCATAAAGGTGGTTTAAACTTCCTAATTGCCAGCTAGGGCTTCCACAAACTTTAGGATACGCCCCAAACACGTTTTATAGATAGGTTTGAAATATGTGTAAACATCAATTTTATGTCCTGTCTCTATAATATGTTTCGCAATAGAGGAGCTAGGTCTCCTGTTCTCACCATTAATGGGTTCTGAGGATTCTATTTGCTTCTGGAGCCATTTAGGAATATGCTCTGAAGCCAGGCCTTACTTGCAGAGATCGATGAGTCCTCCCTATGTGTGTGTCCAAATTGGTAAATACAGTGGGATGTGACGTCATTTTTCGCATGTTCGAAGGGCTTAGATAGATATATTGGCTTTACATTCTCAATTATTATGATATTGGCTGCATAAAAAGTCTTTTTAACAGCAGCGTTCAGTCTTTGTCTAGTTATCAAGCTGCTATGATGCCCCATATAGGGTAGCTTGATGTACACGTCTTTCTTAGGGGCGAGTTGTGGAGTGGGTCTTAGTGTTCTGACTACTTTTTATCTCCTGATGAACTTGTCTGGACAATTGTTATCAACCAGAGTTTTTTGTGTCAACTTTCTTTCTTCTTCATCAAGTGTGTCTTCAGCGTGCATATTCGCTGGATTCTACTGAAGAGGCACCTCACTCACTAAGGCTCTTTTGTACCAAACAGGGCAGAAACTGTGGTAATTAAGATCTTTTTATTGACCCACCAAGCCATCGACTAAGCAATATGTCTAGGAAAAAATAGGTGTATTTTCTCACGTCTTAACTCTTTATTAATTTTATATATACACATTCCTATAGACAAGTCCGCGTGTGATGGATCAGATTGTTCAGAATGTGTTGCACGCAAATACAACATTACACACACGATTCAGACAGACAAATGACGTCTTCTTATTGCTTTGTCTAAATAAATAAATTCTTTTTCTTTTTTTCTAAACAATTGCTAAACTTAATTGGTGGATGGTGACTAGCAGTGGAATCCAGGATGCGCATTTCGTCCCATTTGGGACTCTTCACCGGATGTACCTGCATTTCTCAGTGAGTGATGATGTTCCCACCGAGGCTCGAGCCCAGTGCCCATAGTTTCCAACGCCAAAGCGTTATCCACTAGACCACTTGGGCCACGAGAGCATCCAGGATTCCACTGCTAGTCACCATACACCAATTAAATACTAATTAAATGCCCAGACATCGTCGAAGCATCTGCTCAAGAAGCCGACATGTCAACCTGAGACCAAGCACTTCGGTCCAATCAATCAACGGGAAAAATCTAAAATTCAATTAAATTGCTAAACTTACCTGAGACTTGGTCATTTCTTGTAAATTAGCAATTCTATTATTTAAATTAGCCATTGATTCTTTGATCACGTAAGTTAAATGTTGAATTTCTGCACTATGATCATCAAATAATGTTTGCCGTCTAGCTAGCGCATTCAACTGTTCCAGTTTGGTGAATGTATTGGCTAAATCTTGACCAATAATTGAAGCTGCTTTCATAAATTGTGAACGTTGTGTAAGCGGATTATTTGTTTTACTAACTGATTGGTAGTGATTCTCTTGTAATCCATTTAATACAGGTGATTTATACAATAGAGTATTATCTGTAGCATCTGGTAACATAGAATGATCATTTATGGCAAGTTTTGATATACCAAGAGAATTACACTCCATTGTTGTTGTATGATTTCCATTCATTGATGATTTAGACGATAAATTATTATTTTGGTACTTGGCATCATTTAATTTTGATCGACTAAGTTGTACAGAACGAATAAAATCGGAAGTACGATCAACTGCTGAACTCATCTGAAATGGAAATTTTTAAAGGAAAAAGTAATCGAGTTAAGATAGAGGTCTATAAATCACCAACTAATAGCTGCCACCTTAACAATGAAGATCAGGTTTGCATATATCACAATAAAACAACAACAAACTATACTGGCTGGAACTGATTTCCACGCAAGTCTCATTATGTGAGAAAGGTTATTCAGAGAGCGATTAGACTGAAAGCAGATACTGCGTCACAGTGTAATCCGTTTACACTATGATAGGGGGTCTGTGGGATGTGTAAGAGCAGTAAAGTGTTTTCTTCAGACGACCAACAAGCCAGCTATGCTGGCTCTTCGTTCTGGAGGACGCAGGTTAGATCGACTGACTGACTCACTCACTCGTTTCAACATAGAAGTTTGCAAAGAAGTGCACCAGTTCGAGTTGCTACTCTCCCTCCATGTATCACACAGTGCAAGAGAAGAAAGTAATGAGAGATTCAAAAGACAGATAATAAATAGAAGTGTGAGTGAGGGAAAAAGAATATTTTTTTTCGATTGCAGCTTGATTCCACACCGTTTTTCGTACAAGTATGGAATTTTCAGCATGTGATATCGGTAGCCCAAATTTTGCAGGCTGACCACTGATATCAGGTGTGCGTCAGCAGGGGATCGTACCCCGGACCATGTGCATAGTCGGCGAGCGTCCTAACCACTGTGCCACCGATGCACAATAGAGTTTTGTTAGATATGATTGACATCTGTGCCGTCACTGAGAACGATTCTGAGCCATGTCACCAATTACTTCCAACCATCATTGATTCTAGCCATCCCGAGGACTCCAACTAGCCAGTCAGAAAAGTCTACACCTCCCTACATGGCTGGCTAGTTTAAACTAACTGTTGTGGATTTCACTGACTGATGAAGTCACGTTTTGTTTTGACCACCACTAGGTTTCGCTTTTCCAACCTAACCCATTCTATATCAGCTAACATTTCCCATTGAGGAAGGCAATCGCTAGGCATGCGTAATACATTATCCAACCATCCCAAAGAGGTTTAGAAAACACGTCGACTCTGAAAATTATACTACCCAATTTATCTTGCGGTGATCCGTATCCGGCGGCAAGATCTTAATACGGACTAAACTCTGAGAATCACTTGAAACAGGCCACGTGTGACCGAAACCGAGCAGTTATCCTCTGGGTTCTGCAGTGATACAACGCTAACGTCTTTTGCTTCAGGAACTTCCGCGGTATAGGCAGCCGGGAAATAACAACCACCCACTCACTTCCATAAGCACACGAAGCTTTCCTCACCCTCCTAAACCCTATCAGCAAATGTCCTTTAAACATTGAACAACGTTGAATACATTGATGTGTCGATACTGATAACAGAAATCGCTGAAAGTACTGCAAGATATCAGCATAGCATTCACATGCTAAATTTTTTATGGGTCACGTCTTTCTATGTAATACGGTAAAATAAATAATGGCACAAAGTCAATAAGTGTTAACCATGATCATTATAACGACTAAATCTAAGCAATGCAAGAATAATTATATTCAATATCAACTTTTATCTGCAACCACAAAAAGAAACAAATAGTGAACCATTTTAAGTCTCTATATTTCGTGAAAAATACATATAGAAACAACGTAAGCAACGAGAAGAACTAAAAGGTGATATTAACGTATAGCAGGTGGGGTGTGAGAAATACTCGCCGATAACACAGGCTAGTAGTCGCGCTAAATCATGAATTGGCAGAAGCTGGAATTCATGGACTGGCCATTTTATCGGGCCCCAGTGGCTGAATGGTCTACGAGTTCGCCTTATAACCAGAAGGTCCAGAGTTCGAATCCCGGTGGGTACGTACTGCTGAATAGTCCCAAACCAGGACCGAGCAGCTGTCCAGTACTCCCAAGTTTTCCAATGGTTCTCTAAACGATGTCAGCTCATGATGAAACCCTGTAACCAATCAATCAAATCCTTACAAATCAATACTTGAAGATTATTACGACTTTGAGGGGAATAAGGTGTTGGTTTGTGTAAATTATTATGATTTATACTGCACTGTTATCAGACACAGTATCACCAGACATCAGAATTCGGCCTTCATTTTCGGCCAGTGATTTATTTTCACCAAAAAAAAGATATAGTAGAGGGTCAGTGGTGGTCTTTCTCCAAAGTGATTCATGAGGTTACGCGTTCACTACCCACCCCCACCCACATGTCAGCCTTTCTCACTGTTTCCGGGAAAGGGAAGTGCTCCTACCAAAGTGAAAAGGCAACTGTCTAAGGATAATCATCGTGCAAATGGTCATCTGGACGATTGAGGAAACGGTTCACACAGGCTCTAGGATCCGATAAATACGAATAGTGCATGCACTTGTCTTTATTACAGGGAATCACAAGAACGTAGCTCCAGAAAGCCATTGAAAGTGTAGCATATGAAAAGGATAGCTGTCTTTGACCACAGATGTTTACGTTCTATCTGCCGTGTCAAGTAGTATAATATGGTGTGCAATACTCAGATTAGGCGTAGAGTGTTGGGTAAGGTGGCTAAGTCAATCGATGAGGTTGTGAAGCCGTATGCGCATGACACACTATTGTCTCTCTTAACAGACAATGTGAGCCGACATTGAAGTGGGTTGGAAAAGAGTTATGAGTGGTCAAAACGACACCTGGCCTCAGTCCATAAAATCCTTGACAGTTGGTTTGAGCAATGTAAGGAGCTATACGCTACCCTGTGAGCGCCTTCGGGATGCTAAGAACTGATGGCTGGAGACTATAAGTGATATGCATTAAAAATGATTCTCAGTGGCGCAGATATATTCAGTCTCTGTAGTCCCCATAAACATTACACCTTCAAATTGTCACCCTGTTCCTGTCCTTCTCCTTCACATTTCCGCTTTTTATTATTTTTCCTAATCCGATTTTTTCTGCCTTTTGTCTGCCTTTGTGTGCTACATGGAGTTTGGCAACTTAAACTGATGTGCTTCCGTGCAAATTTCTATGCTGAAATCCAGTCATTCACTGAGCTGCTGAGCTTTTTGTTACCTTGTAAATCAGGCCTAAATAAACTAATATAAAACCTTCCAGCTAGGTGTATCATTTCAACATTCCACAGTCTACATGACAAATAGCCAGTCCTTAAAAAACGCTAACGACTAAATAATTATGATTTTTAAAAGTTATCTATTTTTAGTAAATATATTTTACAGTATGCTGATGAGCTAATTACTAAATTTCATTGATAGTAGGTATTTCACATTATGAAAATTGGTCATTCACTGAGGAACTTTTCTGAGTGAGTAATCTCTAGTCCAGAAAATGGTTTCAGTTCATATATTAGGATACCATACGTCCACCCCTGAATACTACTAACTTATGATGACATCTCTTGATTTGATATGAATGCCTAAGAGACAAAAAACAGCTTTACAAAGTGCTGACATTTGATAATTTTCTAAGTTGAGCAGTTTAATCGCGATTTTCTCAGTTTTTTACTGCATAGAAACGCATCAACAATACACCAGAAAAGAAGTTTTACTATAACTGGTAAACTCTTTAATCTCGCTTCAGTTAAACATTGTTTTAGCGAGACTTTTGGTTTTTATGAATTGAAACAGAATTCTTACCAAGTGCTTATATGACAATACCTGACAATGATTTGGCTGGCTGGCTGGATTCAACATAGAACTTGGCACCGAAGTGCAGCAGTTCGAGTTGCCACGTTCCACATAGCACACAAAGGTAGACAAGAAAATGAGTGAAGAGAATCAATAGAGTTTTGACAAGTATAAGAGTGAAACAGAATGAGTAATGGTAGAAAGGAATATGAAAGATTACAGAGACTGAATACATCTGCGTAAGCCATTGACAACGATTTTGAGCCATGTCACCTATTGTCTCCAGCCATTGATTCTTAGAGTCCCGAGGGCCCCAGCCCGGAAGTCTGCATCTCCCTATCTGACTCAGTTTAACTGTCAGGGATTTCATGGATTGATGCCGAAAGCTGCTACTTTGACGTGGTGGTCGGGCTTGCATATCGCAATGACCCAACGAGCTACACTGTCTGTCTGGCTGGAACTTAAGTTTCTGTAGGTCCTACCATGCCAGAAAGGTTGTTTGGATAGCGGTTAGACAAAAAGCAGCTACCCAAGCCAATGCCATGACTCAAACAAAATCACAAAATATCATGTCGGATAGGTCGGGGCCCGGATTAACAACGACCGCGCTTCCTGCTGCCGTGTCACAGGGCAGAAGTGATAAATATGCTACTGAGACACACCAAATAAAAAAGAACAAACGAAAACAGGCCGTGTGTGACCGACCTCAAGCAGTTGTCCCCTGGGCTCTGCGGTCACGCAACCAACTTCCACGGTGTGGGCAGCCGGGAAGTAACAATCGCCCTCACAATCCGAAGTGCACGCGAAACCTCTCTAATCCTCACTCATCTTTGACAATGATTTAGCCTCATATCTGCTCTGTCAAGTATAAGATCTGTTAAAGTTTGAGATCACATTTAATCAAAACAACTAGAAAACACCAAAAATAACTGGACACTATTAATACCTGCAAAAATGAATAAATTCTAATGTAACTAATCCAGCAAACAGCTACCAATAATCAATAGCAAAACAAGCACAGAATATCATAAAGTTATTACAGTTTTCGACATCAAACAGAATAACAAAAAATACCACGACAAATCATAATGATGCCGTTTGCAAGACTTAGGTATTAGCACGGAGACGAGTAGGTAAATCATCTGAGGCAAAGTTAAACTTTAATCACCACTTACTACCAATCAGCGAATGACTTCGAACGCACCAATCACATGAAGGAGGCATTTTTGTGTATGGAATACACATATTTATGAAAAAGAAATGCATAAAAACTGTAGAAAAGTATTAAGGAGGATACCTTGTTCTCACATGTGATAAAAATAGACCTCAGTTTTAGGTTGGAGTATCAATAAAGTATAATTCCATTGTGGGTAAAATTTATTTTGATAGTCTCACGGTGTTATACA